ACCGGGTGCTAGTCTTCCAAATAGGCCCGTCTATACGACTAACCCTCAAGAGACCAAAGAGATAGAATCTCAAGTTGATGACTTGTTGAAGAAGGGTTGGGTTCAAAAGAGCCTTAGCCCTTGTGTTGTCCCAGTTCTTTTGGTGCCAAAGAAAGATGGCAAGTGAAGGATGTGCACCGGTTGTAGAGCCATCAATAACATTATAATAGAGTATAGGCACCTAATGCCTAGGCTAGATGATATGTTAGACGAATTGCATGAAGCCATCATATTTTCCGAGATTGACCTTAAAAGTGGTTATCACCAAATTCGAATCAAAAAAGGTGATGAGTGGAAAACTACTTTTAAGACCAAATTTGGTTTATATGAATGATTAGTATTGCCATTTGGCCTCACCAATGCCCCTAGCACCTTCATGCGTCTAATAAATCATATACTTAAGGATTGCATAGGAAAGTTTGTAGTTGTCTACTTTGATGACATTCTTGTGTATAGCAAAACCTTAGATGAACATCTTCGACATTTAAGGCAAGTTCTAATAATTCTTAGGGCCAACCACCTCTATGCCAACCTTGAAAAAGGCACTTTTTTTCAAGAACAAGTAAACTTTTTGGGCTTCATAGTTTGCAAAGAAGGAGTGCATGTTGACCCCGAGAAAATAAAGGCCATCCAAGATTGGCCCACCCCAAAAAGTGTTGGAGAAGTAAAAGGCTTTCATGGTTTAGCAAGCTTCTATAAAAGATTTGTGAAAGACTTCTCCACACTTGCATCCCCTCTTAATGAGCTTGTTAAGGAATTGTATGAACTTGACTTAGATTTTCAAGCCACTTATTCCAAATGCCTCTAACAGCCTTTTGATGGATTCTACCTTCTTGAAGGGTATCTCTTTAGAATGGGCAAAGTTTGCATACCCCAAGGATTCATTAGAAAACTTTTGGTAAAGGAAAGTCATGAAGGGGGTCTCATGGGCCATTTTGGGGTTGATAAAACCTAAGTTTCTTAAAAGCTAAATTTTATTGGTCACATATGAGAAAATATGTCCAAAGGCATTGCTCAAAATGCATCACTTGTCTTAAAGCAAAGTCAAGAGTAATGCCTCATGGACTTTATACACCCCTCCCTATAGCTAGTTTCCCTTGGGTTGATATTAGTATGGATTTTGTGCTTGGTCTCCCAAGGACTCAAAGGGGATTTGACTCTATCTTTGTGGTAGCAGACCGTGTTAATAAAATGGCTCATTTTACACCATGCTACAAAGTAGATGATGCTAGCTATATAGCTAAAATTTTCTTTAGGGAAGTGGTCTGATTGCATGGTCTACCCAAAACAATTGTGCCCGATAGGGATGCTAAGTTCCTTAGTCACTTTTGAAAGGTATTATGGGAAAAACTAGGAACAAAGCTAGTCTATTCTACTACTTGTCATCCCCAAACCGATGGCCAAACCGAAGTAGTAAATAGGTCCCTATCCACATTGTTAAGGGTACTCCTAAAAGGGAATAAGAAAACTCGGGATGATTGTCTCCCCCACCTAGGATTTTCATACAATAGAGTAGTTCATAAGACTACTAATCTTTCACCCTTTGAGGTTTTATATGGCTTTAACCCAATAACTACTGATGATTTACTCCCACTCCCAAATACCTCTTCCTTGTTTCACAAAGAAGGAGTATCTAGGGCAGATTTTATTAAGAAATATCATGAGAAAATCAAGAGTCAAATTGAAAAAAAACACAAAAATATGCCAAATACAACAACAAAGGAAGAAATAAAATCACTTTTGAGGTTGGGGATTGGGTATGGCTTCATTTGAGAAAGGATAGATTCCTCACTCAAAGGATGTCAAAATTAAGCCCTAGGGGAGATGGATCATTCCAAGTCCTTCACAAAATAAATGACAATGCATATAAATTAGACCTTCCTTCTAAGTGTGGCACTAGCTCATCTTTTAATGTTTGTGATCTCACACCATTTTTAGGAGCTGAGAATATGGATGAAGATATCAATCTGAGGACAGATGCTTCTCAAAAAGGAGGGGATGATGGAGGATCATCCTCGAAGACACATGTGGAGCCCATCACTAGGTCCATGGCTAAGAGGATAGAAGAGGAAGAGGAGCTCACACACCAATAGAAACTCTTCTCATGATCATAGAGTATTAAATACTCTCCTAAGCCTCATTAGTATAAGACTTATTTTATTCCTATTTTTCCCTTGTTTTTTATTTTCTTAATTTTACCCTTGTATTTTGGGGTACTTTGGAACCTAGGATTTATTCTTGTATTTCTTTTGTCCTTGTATTATGGGATGCTTAGTGTTTAGGCCGTGGGCTACTAAGGGAAACTATAAGTGATGTGGTGCATAAAGGGATCTTTTGGGCTAAGTGAGGCATTGGCCCAAGTAGGAAGGCCTCTAGGTTGCATGTCTTTACCATGCACCTAGTTGTAGCTAAGCTTGACCCAAAAAGATGCTCCTTTTGGCCGAACCATGTGCGACACATGTGGCTCTTATTAGGGTTTCATTTCGTTCACATTTTTGAATGGAGATGATTGCCCAAATGATGACCTAGCCGTCATCACTCCCTAGGGTTACATCATCCATCACTTATAAATACCTTAGGTCTCACTACTTGTAGATACTTTGGAAATTGAATATAGAGAGAGCCTTGTGCCTTTTTATTTTTTCTTAGTCTCCCTTGGCTAATTTCGGCCAAACCCTACCTATCTCCACCTTGAGAGAAAAACCCTAAAAGTAGCCTTCATCATCCATGGAGTGAGCCAAACCTTAGAGTCCCTCTCAAACCTTTCATCAAACACCTTCACCCCATTTTCCACCTTCGGTCATCCAAGCAAGAACACGCCTAGTCCCTTGAAGAGCTTTGATCCAAGGAGTCAAGGATTCCTACTCATTGATACAACATTCTTCCATCAATGCTAGCAAGGAGTCCATCAAAAAGAGTTCATGGACCAGAGTTCTTCTCTCTAGAATTTCTCTCTCTATAAAGTTTAGGGTAAGAGTTTATGAGGTTCTACTCAAAACAGAAACCTTATATATTCTTTCCTCCAGGGTCAAATTGAGTGTTTTCCTAGAGGACCCCTTCTCAATACCACTAAAACTTTAAAGGAATCTTCAGACCCTCGAGTTTCTCAATACAGACATTTCAACTTGACAACATAAACAACTATAAGTAATAAAACACTATTAGAACTTATAATGTTACACAATCAATCCTTAAATTCCCATCTTAATCAAATCAATCACATTTTAATAAGTGAAACAAACCCTTCTTATGAATTATGAAATTAGTCATGTTTCTAATCAATTTCGTAAGGATTTTTAAAATAGTTTCCAAGGAAACTGATTTTAAAAGTAAATCAGTTCTGTAAAAAAAAAAAAAAAATCACTACATATATGTTAGAATCGATATTTCATGTGTTTTTTGTGTTCCTGTTTTTTTTTCTTTTTTTTTTTTTCAACTTTTGTTTGTTGTTAAATTGTAATGGTATAATTACAAAACTGTCATATTGGGGGTGTGTCGTAGATGGTGCACGCAAAGAGATACATACAGTGGGATAACTTTATTTGGATTGGTGGAGGTAGTTTTTGATGTAAAGAGCGAGCATGATTGTTTTGCTTATTTTATTTTATTTTATGATGTATTTTTCATGTTGAGGTATTTGTTGTGCGTCTATTCATAACAATAAAATTTCTCATATTTTTTCTTAAAAGGTGCGATTAGCTTGTAATTTTTATGTTTTAAATAAAAATTAGCTCTAATATATTAGCACTATTTGTAAATAGATTTATGGTATTGTACCTCTTTAATATTATGTTTATTTTTTTCCAAAAAAATAAAGATTGGGATGTAGTGAAAAGGAAAGTTCCAAAATTCTTTTTGTATTATTATTTTTTTTTGGGTTCATCCCAAAATTCTTTTTGTATGCAACTGCATGTGGGTCACGAAAGCGAAAAAGATATACAATAAATATTGCCTGGTTCATTCAGAATTTCAGAGAAACAAGTTAGGAACTGCGTTGGTTGTAACTTGAGGGAATGGAATTAGTATAAGAAAAAGATGAAGTTACTCCCACTTTTTGGAGTCTACTGTCAGAAAGAACAGATAAATTGAGAGAAAAGAACATAAAATAAGAGTTTTTTTTTTTTTTTTTTTTTTTTTTTTTTTTTTTTTATAAATATAGTAGATAAGTGATGAGAAATGAAGAGGGAAATTGAAAAAAAAAATAAAAATGAGATAAGAGTGGGTTGCTAGGCTAAGGAAGTGTATGATAATTATAAATTATAATGACTCATTTGTATATATCAGTAACACCTCGTTTTATGATAATAATAATAATAATAATAATATCTATCCAAATATAAGTGGTTGTGGATCATGGCATTGACATGCCCACAAGTATACGCCATTCTAATTTTTTTGTAGGCCACTCTCAAATATTTAGAGGCCATAGAAATAAAAATCTAGAGCTTCGTTGTTTTCTTCTTTGGCGATTTTTTTATAAAGGTTTTATAGTTAACTTTATTCTGGCAGATTAATTACTTACAGGTAAGCACTAACCTTTAGTAAAAAAAAATAAAGAAAAGAAAAAGAAAACCTTTAGTATAAAACTGAGAAAGCTATCAAATAATTACAACTATTTAAATATTTAATTATTTTTTTATAAAAATACTAAAAGTAATATTCATATTAAAACTATCCTTTAAAAAGTTTGATGATATATTGAAGCTATTATGCTCGAGATTTGTAATTTCAAAGAAGAAAAAAGAATATTGAAGCTTACTGTATTACACATGTTGAAATACAAGTTTTACATGATTGTATTTGGATATAACCTTATACAATAGTTATCATAAGCGATGCATACCAAACCAAATATTTTGTTGTCATATAGGCATTATTTGCGTACACAAAAAAAATTGCGTCCCCAAAATCAAATGGTCCAAATGCAATTTCGTGTACCCTTCTCTCATTACTCGTTTGACTCATTTTCTATTGGTCCAAAACAAAAGGGAAAAAAAAAAAACAAAGAGAAAAACACTCGGATTTGGCTTTCATAAGAAAATAAAAGTTGACAATCAAACCGCGCCATGGCAACAACGGTGGCACAACCGTGTCCTTCATGGACACGCGGTTCCATTCCTCTGTCGATGCGCATCTCACGACGTCGTTTCAGCGGCAGAACCGCACTCACTCGCTTCACCCCACATGCTGCTTTGGTCCAAGCAGTGCCTTCACCTTCGTCGGGCAGAGAAAGAGATAGCTCCTCCATTCAGGTTGTGACCTTGTCACGTGCCAATGACCTTCAGGCGGAGGCCAGAGCCATGGCACGTGCCGCCAATGCCACTCTCTACGACCCCCAACTCATTGCCTCCAACTATGGCTCCCAACCCGTCAAGGTCTTCCCTTTCACCCTTTTTTCGACACCCTTTTGGAAGTTCTTTTGTGGGTATGGCTTGGTTTGGTTTGGTTTGGTTTGGTTGATCCTTTTTCTTTGTGGTAGGTGGTGCGAAGGACCCTTCAGATTGTGCTTGCGTTGGGTTCATTTGGGCTGAAGCTATTGTTGGATCAAAGGAATGGAGTGCTTGATAAGAATAGAAGAGTTCGTGCAGCTGAGCTTAAGGATATATTCACGAAGCTGGGACCCACTTTTGTGAAATTGGGACAGGGATTGTCCACCAGGCCTGATATATGCCCGCCAGAGTATTTGGAGGAGCTTTCTGAGCTTCAAGTGTGGTGTTCTCTCCCCTTTGACTCCTTTTCATTCAAAATGACTACTTTGTTAATAGATGGTTACTGAAGCTTTTATAAAATGAAAAGATTCTAGAGCATGTTTCAGTCTTTCAGACTTGATCAGCTTAGCATAATAACATTAGGGGTTGTTTGGAGAAACAACTTGAGTAAGGTCCTGTTTGGATAAATTTGCTATGAATACTCGTAAAAGAAGATAATAAGTAAAATTAGGACATGTTTGGGTAAACTTCTCCGGAAATACTTCTTTTATAGAAAAATATTTAAAGAAAAATTAAATAAACTTCTCTACAAGCTGAAATTAGCTAATGCATAAACTAATTTGTAGAAGCTCTCCTATTAGCTTATCCAAAATTTTATTTTTAACTCATGCGTAAACTAATTTTAGCTTATGGAAAAATTATTTCAATTTTCTTTCCTTTTTCTTTGTCTTAGAAGTGCTTTTAACAAAGCTTATCCAAATAGGCCCTTAATGAAGCTTCTTTTATAAGTTAAAATCAACTTATGGATCTTAACTTTCAGAGAAGTTAAATGAGAGAGTTTTAATGAAGTTAAAAGGTCCAAGTTATTTTCAACTTACGAGAGAAGTTTAATTCATTTTACCTTCTTACTTATTGAGAAATTTATCTAAACAAGACTTCAAGTATTTGTTCAAGTATAGCTTATCGAAGTTAAGTATTCATTAAGATAAGCCGTGTTTGGATAGACATCTCAACAAGTGTAAAGAATGGAACTTTGATGACTTTTATTAAAGGTAATTTGTTGGAAAATTATTTTGAGGTGATTTTGCAAAGGTTTATTTTCATATGTTTCGGCTTCTAGCTTACAGAAATAAGAACAAACAGCTTATGTGGGTGTCAAAAGTTGTTTCAATAAGCTGTGCACAAATAAGCTGAAAATACGTCCATCCAAGTGGAGGCTAAGTGAGAAATTTGATTGGTTAAATGATTGATATCAATGTGTAGCATAGCACACTCTTTGCTACTTTTTGTGTATGATATATGGGTTCTTCTCGGACATGAACATAGTTAATACAATGTGGAAATCTATTCCTTGATGTAGTATAGCATGGTATATGCCCTTTGTTATAAATTTTGCTATGAAGATTTGCATTGAGGAATTAAAAACAAGGGTAATTTTGATAGTTTATATACTTTTCCAGGATGGTCTGCCTACATTTCCTGATGATGAGGCCTTTGCTTGCATTGAGAAGGAATTAGGACTATCTCTTGAGTCCATCTTCTCTTCTTTATCACCATCACCAATAGCAGCAGCCAGTTTGGGACAAGTTTATAAAGCTCAGTTGAAGTATTCTGGGAAACTTGTTGCTGTGAAGGTGCAACGCCCTGGTATTGAGGAAGCTATTGGATTGGACTTCTACCTGATAAGGGGTCTTGGGTTTTTCATTAATAAATATGTTGACATAATCACCAGTGATGTTGTCGCACTTATTGATGAATTTGCACGTAGAGTTTTTCAGGAGCTCAACTATGTGCAGGTTAGTTCTTCAATCATTACCATACTTGGTATTTTTATAAAATGTTTTCATTTTTAATTGGTTTTTTCAAGCAAATTTTTTAAAAAGACCAAATACTGAATCCTTTGGATAATGACTAATGTCGAGACAAAAGGCTTGAATATGATGAATATTGTATCTTTCTTTGTTTATAATTATGGATTTCTTTTAAACAAAATAAAGCTACTATTTATAAATTATATAAGGTTTTTTTTCAGGATTGAATGTAAATTTTGACAGGTTCCTGCAGGAGGGACAAAATGCTAGGAGGTTCAAAACATTGTATGCTGACAAGGAAGATATCTGTGTCCCTGACGTTTTCTGGGATTATACCAGTGCCAAAGTACTAACAATGGAGTGGGTTGATGGAGTCAAACTAAATGAGCAAGAAGCAATTGAGAGACAAGGATTAAAAGTCTTGGATCTGGTGAACACAGGCATACAGTGCAGCCTCAGACAGCTACTTGAATATGGATATTTTCATGCAGATCCACATCCTGGGAACCTTTTAGCAACACCTGAGGGAAAGCTTGCTTTTCTTGATTTTGGGATGATGAGTGAGACTCCAGAAGAAGCAAGATCTGCCATAATTGGTCATGTTGTTCACTTGGTTAACCGGGACTACGAAGCTATGGCTCGTGACTACTATGCTCTTGATTTCCTGTCACCCGATGTTGACGTGTCACCCATTGTACCAGCACTGCGAGACTTTTTTGATGATGCGCTTAATTATACTGTGAGTGAACTTAACTTCAAGACACTAGTGGATGGGCTGGGAAACGTTTTGTATCAATTTCCATTTAATGGTGAGATTACAGAATGTTTTTTTTTTATTGACTTCTCATTTTCATCTTGTACTTTCTTTTATAATGATTGATGAGTCATTTCAGCATGGGATAGATACACACTTTAAAAAGCAACGATGATAACAGTAATCATATTCTACCTGTAACAGACATAATAAAACATTTAACTATATGTCTCACAACTTTAATTTTGAATGGTTGAGGAGTGAGTGTACTTGTCTATGTCTATAAATATTTTGTAATTTGTAGTTACTTATACCTGCCATTTGTTAGAGAGTCTGATGGTTTGGATTTGTTTCCCTTTATTTCATCTTCTTTTGGCAGTCCCGGCATATTATGCTTTAATATTGAGGTCTCTCACTGTTTTAGAAGGTTTAGCACTTTATGCTGATCCCAATTTTAAGGTTCTTGCGGCATCATACCCATATTTTGCCAAGCGGCTCTTAACAGATCCAAACCCATATCTAAGAGATGCACTTATTGAGTTGCTTTTCCAGGATGGGAGGTTCAGGTATACATTCCACTATCTAAAGTCCATAGAATATTGTTGAGTAAGTTTACTTGAATATACATTGATCTAGTCTAGTGCAGGTGGGGTAGACTTGAAAACCTGCTAGTCCAGGGGAGAATGGACAGAGATTTCTCAGCTAAAGAGGCTTTACAACCTGTCTTGAAGGTATTATTGAGTCCAGATGGTGAAGAACTCAGGATTCTAGTGATTAAAGAAGCTGTTCGTGTAACTGAAGCTTTTACTCTTAGCACAATCTCTGATACATACAAGTCAGTTCCCGATTTTATGAGGATTATTGTTTCCAATGGCAATGCAAATGGGCCGATTATAACGTCAGAAGCTGAAATGCAAAACATGATAGAGCTTAGAGATCAAGTATTCAGGATATGGGGACTTTTGCGATCCTCTAATGATTTTGATCCAGATCTCTTACTACCTATACTACAGGTAAGATTCACTTTTTCTGCATTATTGTATTTCTATAGACTATGATCTCTTGTGTGTTTTCCTTTTCTTTTTGTCACTTGCAAAACATGTAAATAGGGTGACAATAGCTATTCACTATCAAGTGTATTTATAGTAATTAGAATAATGATATCTTTGTATTTATTGTGGTTCTGGCACACAAATGTATGATATAGATCTGCTGCGAATGACACAGATTTGGTCATGTATCTTGTTTTGCAGTGTAACTAATAATCTTTTTCTTTTAGACATATACTAGTTAAGTGGTTAGCAGTATAATTCATAATGATGACTTATATCAATATATACAATAGATTTGGATGCAATCCACACAACTTCTTAACGATTTAATGAAATTTGACAATTGTTGTTTGTTGGACATATTCTAATGTAATTTTGTAACTATTGTTCTTTAATATAATGAACGATTTGTGGAACATTAGAACCATCATACTTAATTTATCTTTGCATTTCCTTGAGAGGGAGACTTAAACAACTACAGAGATATTCAGCAGGTGTTAATTTCATAATTTAACGGATATCTTCATGTAACAAAATGTAGCACAGCCACAAATATGACACTTGACAAACAACTTTTGTGTAATAATGATATGACTCAAGTCAAGTACGATACAACTCTAATACAAATATATTGCAAGTTGTAAGCCGTACAGTAACACGAAAGAGTAACATCAAAGATATATTTGAGATAGAAAAATAAATGCTAACATGACTATATGAGAGATTGTGTAAGCATTATTAGTTTATTACATAGTCATTCCTAGCACTAATCGTAAAACAGGAATCAAACATAGATATCTGTGTTTCAAAAGCCAGCATTAGTCATTGTTGATGCAATAAAAGTAATGGACATTGAAGGTTGCAGACAAGGATTATCCTATGGTGTCTGAATATCTAGAATGCATGTCAGATACCAATACACCACTTATAAAGTGGCTACACTTATTAAGTGATAGTCATTATGAAGTCTGGTCTTGAAACATTGGAATGGATAGTATTAATTTAGAAAAGAAATAAATGTTTAAACTAAAGTTAAACGAAACAATTTTAATTATTTAGTTGATGTAAATTTAAAAATTATTTATTTGGTATTTTTACTTTCGGTTTCAAATATTTGTATTCAATTTTTTTGTTAGTTTAAATTTTATAGAAACTCCTGTTTGCTGATGAACAGGTTCTTCAGCAACCTGAGGCACGCAGACTTGGGGAGCGTGTTATGGGTGGGATCACTCAACGTCTTGCAGCTCGCTTTCTGCAACAAGTACTTCGAGTTCCAACACCATCTTCCCTGTAGATTTGTGTCATTGTCAACAGATGTAGTCTAGATAAGGCATGCATATTATTTATATATTTCTTTGTTCTTGAATATAATTTGATTGTTCATCTATCCAATAATTTAGTGATTGTTGATTTAGTTCACTTCTTTCTTACAATACCGAAACATGGCAAAATGAGCTTGCAGGAAAAATAAAAAAGTTTGATTTATGGTGTTATATCATATCTGCTGTACTGAATGTTCACTCTGCTAGGGATCTATTTGCAAGAGTGAGAATAAGTGCAGGGTATTCTAGGTGTAATAAAAGTAACACCTGAGAGCAATGTTCAGGAAGGCTTTCAGGAACTTCACAGGAAAAGTGATAGTGTAAATCTTTGGGTTTCTTGTAGTCTAGTAGGCTGAATTTACTTAAAAGCTATGTTACATGTTAATAACCATTAGACCGCTTAACATGAATTGGAATTCCATAATTAGTTTTTAATTTTAATGGAGTCTTTCAATAAAGGAAGCAACTTAGGAATTTTTAGTTAAACTTTTACCAGTGAAATGTGTCTAATATTACCCTCTCCCCCTATAATGCTTTCTCATTCAGAGGCTAAATTGTAATACTAGGAAAACATTAATGGTGGAAAACCTTTTGGAGATAGCTAATAGAACTGATGTGTGGACCACAGCTAAACAAAACATCAAAACTAATTATAAAGCAGGAAGTCTGTTTTTGTGATAGAAACCTAGGACCTAATTCTGGTTATGAGCAAGGATTGGATCAGATGTTGAACTTTTACCCAAAGAGGCCCATCATATGGAATATTCTAGGAGTAAGAAAGTGAGTCCAGGGTAGAGATAGAATTAGTGCTGAGTTGGCCAAAAGTTAGCACATATGCGGGGGGGAATTCTGTTAGAGGAGATTCTGTTAAAATCATGTTGTTAACAGGTCAGTAGGGGAATACGGAGACATTTATGCTGATTGTATTGAATTACACAGGAGAGTCTCTCTCTGGATAGGAGCCATGGGCTATGGTTGTTTTTTCACTTGCTGTAACAATTCTGTTTGCTTCTTTTATAGAATCATACTTCTATACCCGAATCCTTTCTGGGATTTCTATCATTTTGTTATTTGCTTCTCATAGTTATAGATGGTTATTTAAATTTATGAACTTTCATATATTATTAAATTTTATTTTCTCATCATGCCTTTTTATTTGTATAGAAATCGTCTTACTCTTGTTATGTGCTTCTCACAAGGTTGTCACTAAGGTTATACGGCGGATGGCGGCAAGGACCTTTAAGTGCCATACTACCATGGTGGTCTATGGCAGTCTATGGCGGACATCATGGCTGTCAAAAAATAAATAAATAAATATAATATGATGCAAATATAGAAAAATAACAAACACATATATTAAAACCAACAACATAACAATCTAAAATTCATGGGATTCATAATCTAGTGATAGTCATCATAAAAAAACATATATTCTTAACCAACAAAAGGATTAAATAGCCATCAAAACAAAGAATCAATGTTAAAAAACAGCAAAACACAATGACAATTCCTAAAACTATTTTGTTTAATCCTCCTCATCCTTATCATTGTCTGCATAATTAATTTTCACATGATGATGTTGCTCATTTAAAAATCCTTCAACTTCTTCTCCATCTAAATGTATGAAATTAGCATTTGGCACTAATTCCTCGTCCTCACTATGAGAGAAAGAGTTGAGAGAATTTTAGTAGAATGTATTATTGATGAAAACAAAAGATAGTGATACCCGTGAGGTATCACTTACATATATAGATCTAACAAACTAACCAACTTGATGAGTTGGCAACTCTTAACAGAAAATAGAAAAATATACTTGATCAATACAGTAAATAATAAAAGTATTTATTATCCTATTCTCTTCTCTAATAAACCCCCCACAAGCTCAAGGGGGATGAAACATAGTAGATGGATCAACAACATTGAGCTTGGATCGTAGAAACAGAAATCTTTTGGGCGACAGCGCCTTGGTCAAAACATCTGCATATTGATGCTAAGCAGGGATATGCGAAACAACAAGAGCTTTACTGAGTACTTTTTTCGAACAAAAAAGATATCAAGTTCCATATGCTTAGATCTTGAGTGTAAAAATGGATTGTGAGACAATGCTACTGTGCTCGGATTATCACAGAGCAGTATAGGAGTATTTAGGTGAACTTTCAATTCCTTTAGAAGGGGTTGAATCCACAAGACTTCTGTTACTGCTTGAGCTAAAGCTCTATATTCAGCTTCGATGCTTGACCTTGCAACAAGCAACTGTTTCTTGGACCACCAAGACACCAGGTTAGGACCAAGATAAATGCAGACTGCTGAAGTAGACCTCCTATCATTAGGATCAGTCGCCCAATCAGCATCAGTAAAGGCAGTGAGGTTGAAGGAAGTAGTATAACTAGCAGGGGTAAACACCAGTCCATGTCCAACAGTTCATTTGAGATACCTGAGTATCCTTTTAACAACTTTCCAATGTTCCTCCATTGGAGAGCACATAAATTGACTCACCTTATTAACACTAAAGGCAATCTCAGACCGTGTAATTGTGGCATATTGCAAGGCACCAACTACGGCCTATACAAAGTTGGATCATCAAACAAGGTACCCTCCTTAGCAAGCTGTTGACCACCAATCATAGGTGTAGATATACCCTTAGAGTCTTCCATTTTTAGCTTGGTAAGATCAGTAATGTACTTGACTTGAGACAACAGTAACCTCCCGTTAGAGAGTGATTTGACTTCAATGCCCAAGAAGTAATCTAAGGTACCAAGGTCTTTGAGAGAAAAAATTTCATTGAGCTGATCAATTAATTTTTGCAATAAGGAGGGAGAATTGCTAGTGAGGATAATGTCATCCACATAGACAACCATGTAAACAGTAGCAGTTGGAGTAGAGAAAATAAATAGGCTAGGATCACACTTGCTTTTGCTGAACCCAAGCATAAGCAAGACAGATGTTAATCTGTCAAACCAGGCACGAGGAGCCTGTTTGAGGCCATAAAGGGATTTCTGCAGTTTGTAGACAAGATGTTTGTTTCCAGGTTCAATGAAGCCAGGAGGCTGAGACATATAGATGTCCTCTTCAAGCATTCCATTAAAAAATGCATTATTGATGTCAAGCTGTCGAAGTGGCCACTGAAAAGAAATTGCAAGAGAGAGAACAATCCGGATGGTGACAGGTTTAACAACAGGAGAAAAAGTTTCAAAAGAATCAAGACCAGGTTGTGATGAAAGCCCTTGGCAACAAGCCTGGCCTTGTACTTATTAATAGAGCCATTAGGATTTTCTTTAATACGGAAAACCCATCTGCATCCAATGGATTTTCTGCCAGAGGGTAATTCAACTAATGTCCATGTTTTGTTGTCATGTAAGGCCTTGATTTCAGCTTGCATGGCAGCAAGCCAATTAGGATCAGTGAGAGCAATTTTAACTGTCTTTGGTTCAGCATTGGAAAGCAAGAGTGTGGGATTAATTATGGGTTGAATAATTCCATTTTTGGAACGCGTGGTCATGGGATGAACATTAGGAGGTCTGGCAGATGGTAAATTCGAAGAAGAGGCAACTGTAGTAGAGGATAGATGTTGAGACAAAGTTGGAGGGGTAGTGGAGGTGTTAGCAGGTGTAGGAGAGGAAGAGTGAAGAAAATTGGATTCTAAGGAGCCAGAGCTAGAAGAAGGATCAGGTTGTATTAGGGTAAAAGAAGATGGGTTGTGAGAACAAACAAGAGAAGGAATTGTAGAAACATAGGTGGCAAGGGTAGAAGCATTGGATTTTGTAGTGAAAAGATCATTATAGGGAAATCGGCCTTCATTGAATACAACATCCTTGCTGATATAGATTCTGCCAGACCTACTTAAACATTTGTAAGCCTTATGGCTAGGTGAGTATCCCAAAAATAGACACTCCTCTGATCGGGGTTGAATCTTGTGTTGATTGTAGGGTCTAAGTAATGGAAAACAGGAACAGCCAAAAACCTTTACAAATTTATAATTAGGGTCCTTGTTGTGAATCAGCTTGTAGGGTGACTGATAACCAACTGATGAGGAGGGCAGTCTATTGATTAAGTAGGTGGCAGTCAAGAAGGCATGATCCCAAAATTTTAGTGGTGAGGATGCATGGTGAATCATTGCCAAACCAAGTTCAACCACATGTCTATGTCTCCGTTCAACCATGCCATTTTGATGATGAGCACAGGGACAAGTAAGTCTGTGAATAATGCCTTCTTGTTGTAGAAACGGGATTAAGGTACGAAATTCACCACCACCATCAGTTTGAACTGACTTGAGAGGAGTTTGAAACTGTTTCTCAGCTAGAGCTTTGAAATTCAGAAAATTTGAAGAACATCTGATTTTCTACGAAGGAGATAAATCCACATATATATGGTACAAGCGTCAACACATGTTAAAAAGTACAAATATCCACAACTAGATTCTAATTATGCAGGTCCGCAGACATCTTGAAAAACGAGTTCAAGTGGTTTGGAATAAACAGTAGTTGAAGATTGAGAAGGAATTCTATGAGATTTGGCAATACAACATGAATCACAAAAGTCAAAAATTTTATTAATAGCCGGAATATGAATATTACAAGTTTGTAAGGCTTTAGTTAGTGCATCATGAAGTGGATGCCCTAACCGTAAATGCCAATATTTATAGGTATTGGAAACAACATTGGTACATTTTTTGGAAAGAAAAATACAAGGTTCAGATTTAAGGAAAGCTGAATTCTTCTCGCTGTAGACGTTGTTAGATTCATTCTTTGCTAGAGTTGGGTGAAAATGATAGAGACCATCTTCACCAAGTTTTCCTTCAAGAAGAGTCTTGTTCAAATCCTGTGATTTGACAAAATAGAAATGAGAATAGAACACAAAATAGACATTGTTTTCTTTAGCAAATTTAGAGACACTGATTAAATTTTTGGTTAAGGTGGGAACAAGTAATAGGTCTTTTAGAGACAAAATTTTGGACGGATGAATAGGGGACCGAAACATATTAGAACCTATTGAGGCAATAGATGTACCTTGGCTATTGGCCATGACAATGTGCTCTGCTCCTATAAATTGAGCACTCTGCAAGAGATGTTGAGGATCAGGGGTGGCATGATGAGAAGCACCAGAGTCCAGAATCCATGCTGTAACAGTGTTTAGGGTTGGAGCAGCATGTTGAGCAGAGGATACAGCACCCGGATGACCTTGCTGGTTAGACGATGATGCAGGAAAAGTGAACCCAGGAGGTGGAAGACCAAAACCAAGAAAAGTGGTCCCAAGAGAGCCACCCAAGGCATAAGCAGGCCACGAGACAGGACCTGAATGTCCAAGCATGTTGGCAGATCCATAATGGGGAACAATTCTAGTGTTAGAGAGAAAAACAAAACCAGGTCCAGGATTCTAAGACACATACCCATGCTGAGGGCTGAGACCAAAGGTGGGGTAAGAGGCAAACATTGAATTGAAGGGTAGTCCAAAACTGCCTAAGGATAAGCCACTAGAACGCTGTTAACACGTGGAAGCCTCATGTCCACGTTTATGACAGATTTGGCATTGAACAGGAGGACCACGATTTTGTCCGCCACGAGCACCACCACGGCCACGTCCTCCATCGCGATTCTGTCCAGAGAAATTATTGAAGCCACCTTGAGATTGAGACGGGAGATTCTGAAATGTATTAGGCTGAGGATTTGACATTTGTGGCTGCTGAAATGCCAAATTTACATTTGGAATTCCATTTGGAATAGAGGCAGTTTGGGCAAGGTTGCTTGATAAGGGTTCTTGAATTACTACAACCTTTGCTTGTTCAAGTCTTGCTTCCTGAGCAAGAATCATGGTCTCAAGTTCGGCGAGAGAAAGAATATCATCTCGACTGACAAAGGCAGTGACTGTAGAAACCAGGGAGTCATATTCAGGTGGGAGACCACCAATAATACTCTCAGCGTGTTCGCGGGTTGAAATAGGGCGAAGCAAGGGTTTCAATGATAGTGCTGATGTGAAGCAAATATTTTGAACACGCTCTTGTTCCTTTCTTGATAGTGCGAAGTTCAAGTCGAAGTTGTGTCACTTTGATTTTGGTGAGGGATTGAAAATGTTGAAAGACCAGATCCCAAATTTGATACGAGTGACGGCAAGAGACAACACGAGCCTGAATCGATTTAGAAAGTGTTGTTAGGAGCCAGGAAAATAGCAGCAAGTCCTTGCGATCCCAGGCAGTATATGCGGGATTGATATCATTGGCATCACGATCCTTAGCAGTAAGAAATTTTAGTGGAATCTTTGGATTGATGACAAATCTTTCAAGATCATGGGCGCGAATCATAGCAGTGACCTGTTGTTGCCAGGTCATGAAGTTCATCTCATCCAATTTGCATGTGACAGTTTGGGAAAATGTGTGTGAAACAGAATTGTTAGAATTTGCAGAAGCGGAGGCCATTGGAGCAAGATTGGGTTAGAGACAAGAAGTAGCGGAAAAATTGTCAAGAGCAAGAAAAAGAGAGACAACGGGAAAAAGAAAAATCTCAACAAGTCACGCAGAACGAGCGCGAACAAAAAAACAGAAACGGCAATGTGCACGCAATCACAGGACGAGGCGAAGGCGACGCGATCGGAAATGGAAAACGAACAGAGACAAGTCACGCAAGAAGAGCAAAAGCGAAAAAGGAATCCCAGATCTCACCGTGCTCACGATGATACCATATGAGAGAAAGAGTTGAGAGAATTTCAGTAGAATGTATTATTGATGAAAACAAAAGATAGTGATACCTGTGAGGTATCACTTACATATATAGACCTAGCAAACTAACCAACTTGATGAGTTGGCAACTCTTAACAGAAAACAGAAAAATATACTTGATCGATACAGTAAATAATAAAAGTATTTATTATCCTATTCTCTTCGGTCCTTGATGGTTAGTTCTCAGCCTTTGACTCTTCTTAATCTAAATCATTTCTCCATTTGGAACACCATATTTCTTAGAATAACAATTTCTCATTGTATATCCTTTTTTACAACAATATAAGCAAGTAGTTTGTTTTATGAAATTGCCTTTAAATTTTCTAAAAGATTGATTTCTTTTGAAATCTTTTTCTCTTGATGGCATGTTCATGCTTTGATTAAAACCAAGTCCACTTCTATCAAAAGCATGTCTTTGCTTCCCAAAATGATATTCAAATTTGCTTTTCCATTTGTGAATTTTGCAAGAGAATTTTTCAAATTAGCATTTTCTTTTTCTAAAAGCTTGCAACTTTCACAATCAACTTTTGAAGAGGAGGAGGTTTCACAATGAGCTTCATTGAAGTTAAATTTTTTTGAAGATTTTCATATTCATTTTTCAAATTTTCAAGCTCTTGTTCAGCTCTAATTAAAGCATTTTCATACCATGACAATTTGCCTTTAAGCTTAGAATTTAAAGCATCTAATTTCACAGTCTCTTTGTGAATTTGAATGAAAGCTTCTTGGAGTTAATCATAATCAAGATTAGATTCAAGATCAGAATCACTTACTATTGTATCTTGATCAGCTCCAGCTATCAAACATAAGTTATTTTCCTCAAATTTAGATTCATCACTTGTTGTGCTTGAGTCACTGTCTTCCCAAGCTATGTAGGCTCTTTTTCCTTTGTTGTTGTTCTTCCGTTTCTTTTCCTCTTGTTGCTTCTTTATAAGGTTGGGGCATTCAGCTTTTATGTGGCCTAGTTTTCCACATTCAAAACAGTTGTAAGAGGATGTGTTCCCTTCATCTTTCTTATTGGCCTTCTTGTTGAACTTGTAGGGGGAACTCCTTTTCTTTCTTAGGAATTTTCTGAACTTCTTCACCAGCAAGTTGAAGTTCTCTGAATCAAAATCTTGGGAGCTTGAGTCTTCACATTTTTCTTTACCTTTGACTGATTTTAAGGCTTTTAGAGACACTCCTTTTCCCTTTTTATCTTGTTGTTCATTTTCTTAAAAAATGTGCAACTTTTGCTCATGCTCTCTTAGCTTTCCAAAGAGAGTTGCAAGGGTTAATGAAGTTAAGTGCTTTGATTCTTCTAGTGTAGTAAACTTTATTTTCCAAGAACTATCTAAGCATTGTAGAACCTTCAAATTTAGTTCTTCTTCTTCAAATTTCCTGCCAAGATCAACCAGGTGATTTATCAAGTGTGTAAACTGTTTTTGAAAATCAGAAATTGATTCACCATGATTCATTCTCAACAATTCATATTATCTTATAAGAGTATGCTTTCTAGATCTTTTTACATCACTTGTTCCATGAGTAACTTGTAATGTGTCCCACATTTCTTTAGATGACTTGCATTGAGAAATTCTAAAAAAACTCATCAATAGACAATGTAGATATTATTATGTTCTTTGCTCTATAGTCATATTGAGCTCTCTTTTTCTCATCATCACTCCACTCACTCCAATGTTTTTCTCTCTTTCCATCACCATCTTTGGTCATAGGCATTTTGGGTCCATTTTCAATTGCATCCCACACAGTAATATCAATTGCTTCAATGAAAAATCTCATCCTAATTTTCCAATAGACATAGTTTTCACCATTGAAAACAAGAGGTCTATGAATAGAAACACCCTTACCATAAGGTATGTTGTTGTTGGCCATTTTTGAAATCTTGATTAACACACTCAAGAACCTTGCTCTAGATACCAATTGTTAGAAAAGAATGAGCAATATCAGCATATAGTATATCACAACATACATCATTCAGCAATAACAGCAGTAAACACACAATGCATCGTCATGCATGTCAGCTCGGAGATCTCCTACAACAACTCAACCTTACGGCCTACCACAGTCACTGCTAGAATTTTTTGATGCCTTAACTTCTTCAACCCTTTTCTCCTTGTTCTTTGAAGCTACTCCTTTGGCTCTTTTAGAAGGATTAGTAGATGTTCCTACTTGCCCCTCTCCACTTGTCCCACTCCTTTTGTGACGCCTAGTGTATTGCGCGTAGAGGGAGAGGGAGAGAATTGCACAGGGAGTAGAATCTCGTGCAGAGGGAGAAACGGAGAAGAATCGTGTGCGCCATGGTGGTTGCGTAGGAGGTGGCGGCGGCAGAATATGTTAGAGGAGGCACGTTGTTGACGTTGCATGGAGGAGAAAATGTTTCAGAACTTTAGGGTTAAGGTTTCGCTGTGAACCTATTCAGGAAAATGGAAAAAAAATGGAATGCCTAAATTCGGAAAAAAAACCTCGGGTCCAAACCCGGAAAAATGAAGAAAAAAAAAGCCCAAAACAGGCACCATGACTGTCGTAAACTGCCACACCATTACCGCCATAACAGCCGTCATATGCAAAATGGCAGACCCACACCTTATAGAGGCCAAACGGCCATAACAGAATGCGGCCGCCGCCGCCATACCGTTATGGCGCCATTATGGTGCTACCATAACCGCCATTTAACAATGCTGACTTCTCATAGTCATGGATGGTTATTTAAATTTATGAACTTTCATATATTATTAAATTTTATTTTCTCATCATGCCTTGTTATTTGCATAGAAATCGTCTTACTCTTGTTTTTTACTTAGATGTTGTGTCAGATAATTTTAACAAGGTTGTTTAATTGCAAAACAAGTTGTTCTTCAGATTTATGCTGTCATCATTTTCTGATTTAGTCCTATGTTGCTTGGGAAAGAGAACGGCGCATCTCTCTCTCTCCACTTCAAGACATGAATTGCCAAATCACATTTTCTTTTATGCAGTGTTTTTAAATACTTCAACTTTAGAATTGAAAAGAATTCACTTGGGAAAATTGTTTATGATAGAATCCAAGATGAGATAAGAGGCCCACGGAGGGCATATAGACCCACGATCAGGAAAGTCTATACTAGGAGGAATAGAAGAGTTAGTGGCTGAGTTGGCAGAGAGAGAAAAATGAATGAGGAGGGGAATCAAGGCTCTGCCACCTTTACTAGTATTAATTTATATCCATATATATATATATATATAAAAAAAAAGGGTTTATTTTTTCCTAAAAAGGTTTATTATTTCCTTTATCGTTCTTTATTTATTATTTCCTTTATCGTTTTTCATCTTTTCTTTCCTTTCTGGTATCAGTTTTTACTGGTATCAGAGCAACAAAGATCTGGCCACTAAAAGAGATTTAGAAATGGAGTGCCAAGTAGTGGAGGAGAGGATGATATTTTGTTATGTGTACTGAGCAGTCGATCTCTATAAGAGCTGTGCTGTGTGGCAGAAGGGGTTCATTCTTTCTGCAAACTCATGTCTCATCTAATATTCAGTGATTTTTACTCTTTAAAACTGTTTGATTATATTGCTGGTTTGGATTTGGGTTGTATCAATTTACAAGTCCTATCAAAAGTATTTGGAAATCATGAAATATTAAACATAAGATGATTTGTTACTGAAATGAATTCTTATAACTAACAAAATCATGAACAAATTGATAAAAGAATTCGCATACAAGGAATTTAAACGGTTAGATATTTAAAGATAAATATTCAAACCCCAGAATATTTTAGTTATGAAGTGTTGGGCTGCTGTCTCTAGTCATAAACTTGATAGATTAGTTTTATGGTACTCTTTGTTTGTTAAGATCTCATTAGTGGTTTTTATAGTATAATTTGCACTGACAGTTTAGTTCATTTTTGATTGAATGGGATCATGTCATACTATGATATCGGCCCTTCTTGCTGTAGCTTATATTATTTTGTTTCTTTTCTGCCAGGTTATTATGAACAGGGAATAGAGGATTTACATTCTTATAAATCCAAAAAAATGGTTGATTTTTCCAAAATTGTTTGATTAAGTTGTTTGTTTTGGAGCCTCTAATTTGCAAAAAACTGTATATATATATATATATATATATATATATATATATACTCAGTATTATTGATGCTACAAGCATCATAATCAGCATCATCAGATAACAATAATGTAATAGTGTCCATTGAAAACGCATTCCTCTTGCTCATCTTGTTTCTTTCTTTTTAGTGACAGTATTCTGTTATTCGGGTTATGATAGCACAGGGAATAGAGGATTTACATTCTTATAAATCCAAAAAAATGGTTGATTTTTCCAAAATTGTTTGATTAAGTTGTTTGTTTTGGAGCCTCTAATTTGCAAAAAACTGTATATATATATATATATATATATATATATATATGTACTCAGTATTATTGATGCTACAAGCATCATAATCAGCATCATCAGATAACAATAATGTAATAGTGTCCATTGAAAACGCATTCCTCTTGCTCATCTTGTTTCTTTCTTTTTAGTGACAGTATTCTGTTATTCGGGTTATGATAGCATCTCGTTTATTCTGTTAACAGTTTATGTAAAAATAATAACTTTAGATACATGATTACTGATACGCAGTCTAGATGACACAGCTAGGGATTTATTAGTCTATGTAATTTTCCAAATCCCCTATGTGCATATATCATAGTTAGTACATTAAATGAAGTTAGGAACAACTATATATTATCTTCACATTCAAAATTTCATTTCTTCTAGGCTTGTTCTGGGTAAATTTGTCAGTTTTATATAGCTTGTGTATTTGCTTTTAAATTTCACAAGCGTATGTGACTGTCAAAAAAATAGTCAATCAGACAATATCATGAATCATAATTCTAACTTTGTCAAATGACCATAGTTTTGGTGGCTACACATCTTTCCGGGGCAACGTGGCCTTTGTTTTACCTGGGCATTTGCCACGTTGAATGGAGAGACACCGAGGGTTTGGCCCAAGTATTGGTCTCCTCTTCTCATCTGTTCCTACTTTGAACCTTGTTATTGGAACCACCTCATTTAATTTGCTCCAGTGATGCAAAAGTCACCGAGTGGAAATTCATAGATTTAAACGGAAGACAAATTAGGATTAAAGAAGTTTTCCGTAATATGGTTTTCTTCTAATACATTTTTTTT